TCAAAAATAATAAATTAATAACACCTTTCCTTTTAAACATTGGTAGCGTTCGATTCGAAGCGTTGATTAGCCTATAAATTCACGCTACCCTTAAAAAGGTAGTTGAACTATCACAAAAAAAGCGCTAAAATATTTAGGGTATTCACAAGATGTCGTAAGCGTCGTTATGTTCTAAAGTCGAAAAAGGGCAGGGTATAATAAGAGCTAATTTTATATATATATTTTGTAGCCATTTCAAAAAAATTTGGTGTAGATACAAATTGCCTTAAAACATTTTAACCGCTATTTTACGTTGAAAACTTTTACGACGCTTAAGACGACCTGTGAATACCCTAAATATTTTTTTTTCTTTCGATTTTACTGTTCAGTTTTCAATTGAAAGTAAATAAATCATATAGGCGTTTCCAGCACAAAGTCTGCCGCAAAAAAAAACTACAAGTCGTATATCTAAGTTAATTATAGGCCGATTTGACTTATTTTTGTAATATATACCTACTGGTTATGTAAGCAGAAATATTTTTGCCAGGGTCGAGATATTTTGAAAACCCATATTATTTGGCATGTTTAGTTGAATCGTAATAAGACATATACTACGTTTATACGGAAGCTATTTGCAAATAAAAATAATTTGCTGATATTGTATCAGGAGTGGAATTCTGTAAGAATATCGAGAGCCGCAAAGAAGCAACTCGATCGCTTCATCCGCGATAGGTGTGGCGAAAAAAATTTCAATTTCTTTCAAGCGATTTTGAGCACTTACTAGGAAAGTATTTCAGGAATTTAGATTTTTTCCTTGGTACCCTAAGAAAACAGCTCAATCAGTTTTATTTTTCAAGATGTTAAGTTTTGACGGGTGTCTAAGGGATAAGGATTTGCCTATTCGTGTGGTGTGATCCATAATAATAATAATAATAGATTGGCGCTTACACATATGTTAGTGTTTGGCCGAGCTTCTCCTCCGATTTGTGGCGTGCGCCTTGATGTTGTCACACAAAGCGGAGGGACCTACAGTTTTACGCCGACTCCGAACGGCGATTGTATTTTTATGAGAAGCTGTTTTTCATGGCAGAAATACACTCGGAGATTTGCCATTGCCTGCCGAGGGACGACCGCTGTTAATAATAATAGCTTCCCTAATACAGTAGGCACATCTCCCGTGAAGCTCCGGTATACCCATACCTAAAGAGTAATAAGTCAATGTTTTATATTTCCTACAATATTTAAAAGTTCATTTAAATTTTTGAAACTTCTCAAGGCTATGCTTCGAGCTCTGTAAAAGGTTTATAAACTATGTAATACTGAAAAAGCTCTTGCCGACACCGACCCCAGCACTATATTATTACCTCCAGTATAAGCATAAGTATGTATGCATGGAATACTCAGATAACCCTAACCTTTGTTAGGTGGACGGCTATTCACTGAAGTCATGACCCTCATGAGCCGACATCCACCCCAGCCCTGTATTCTAGTCTCCGGAACGTTTAGTACATAATTATGTAAGTCTACAGAGTCTACAGCGAAAAACTTTGGCTGTGCGGCATAATGCGACTGAATCTCCTCTAAAGCATTTTTTGTCACAGATTTATTCTTCATAAGCCACTACTTTGTCCCCAGGATATGTATATATGCATCAATGGATCCAGTTTGAGGACGCGCCTACCTACCCTTTGTAAGCTTGTGTCATAAAAAAAGTAAAAAAAGTAGTGTTGGGAAATAGCGAATACTTTTGATGATCGAGTTATTTGGTATCGATACTTTTAAGGATCAGTTATTTTTTATAGTACTGAGCACTTTCATCAATATAAGCATGTTGGTAGCATTTCAATGCTTAGAATAGAAATCTAAGAAGCTGGCAGCATTTGATTCAAATTAATTTACTAATCCCAAATTACGTCAAATGAATGCCGGGCTGTAAATGTAAATAAAACTCAGTTCTTTTAAGTATCTATTTGACACCTAATACTGAGTACTTTGAATCGATGCTGAGTACATGTATCAAAGTAATGATTGGAACAGAGTGTTTTTGAGTACTGAGTACTTTTGATTTCTATTGCAAGTGCTGAGTTCTTTGAAGTCGATACTTTTGGTACAGTCAATCCTTTTGAGAATCGAGTTAAAAGTAACAACAGGAAGGCAATTTTTTATTCGTTTTCCTTTGAGACATATCCCGTGTTTACTTAATCTACACCACTTTACGTACAAATTTTGGATGTGTAATGTATTCACTTTTATTTTATTTTTATTTTTTTTAATTTTCTCTCCTTTACTTTTTCGATTATCCATATCATTTACTTATCTACACAATATAAATTAATTTAATCCTAAGGCTGCGTTGTTTGCCAGTCAAATAAATGATGTGAGTGAGTATACGAATAAAGTAGTCCGTATCGTGATGAGTTTCGATGAATTTCGCTTGCTATTAGAATTCACAAATCTATTTGCCAAAGCTATTGGCGCTAGCATCGGCGTTTGCAGCCGCATTGGATCCACCAAAACCATTAGAAAATGAATTCGCCTTAGCGTTTGCATTAGCTACAGAAGAGCCACCACCAAATCCACTGGCGTTGGCATCGGCATTAGCGTTGGCTGAACTGGAACCGCCACCAAATGCGGGACTATTTCCTCCTTGACCAAAACCGGGTTTTCCACCAAAGCCGCCACCAAATCCGGGGTTTCCACCGAAACCGCCACCGAATCCGGGATTTCCGCCGTTGAAACCAGGATTTCTATTGAAACCGCCGCCGTGATTTCCGCCAAATCCCGGGTTACCACCGAATCCAGAGTTGCCACCGAAGCCAGGGTTACCACCGAATCCAGAGTTACCACCGAAGCCAGGGTTACCACCAAAGCCAGGGTTACCACCGAAGCCAGGGTTACCACCAAATCCTCCACCTGCTGCGCCAGCATTAGCGTTGGCGTTGGCGCCGGCTTGGGAGCCACCATATTGCTGTGGCCTAGCACAGCAAACGGCGAACAATGCGGAGAGTACTACGAACAGCTTCATTATAACGGTGAAGTTTCTAACGTATTTTGGAAACTTCTAATACGAACCACTAAGCGTTGATAACAAAACTAGCAAATGTTTGGCCCAAGCCGGCGTTTTTATAGCAAAAGTCAGCGAACTGCTACGAGTTTTCGGTGATCTTAGACAGGTTATCTCGAGGGATAGTACCCAGTGTGTGTGTGTGCTTTCAGTGCGAGGTGTGTGTGTGTGTACATAAATTTGTATGTATATGAATATTTGCCTGGATGATTACATTTGAAGCTCAGATCAATTCACATGCGTGTGCGAAATCTAAATGAGAAGTATATTATGGAGGCAAATAAACCAGAAAATATAAAACCAGATACTTATGTATATTTTTTAAACTTATTTATGGAGATGATTATACTTGCAGAGTTGACCAAATAGAAATTTATTTTCTTAAGAGATCACGACAAAATAATAAGAGGAAAGGAATTAAACCAAAACCAATTCATTTCGTTATATATTTAGACTGTGTGGATGTATTTGTACACGTACTACATTTGTATGAATGGGAGCATCATCAACGGCAAACATAAATGGTTGTTTATCTAAATAAATAAAAAACATCCAACCAGAGACGTGCGCGCGGCGGGGATGTTTTGTGGGTTCGAATGACGAATATTTTTGAACCTGAAAGTTGAAATACCAGGTTGACCGAGCTTTGCCCGGAGTGCAATTTGGTTTTCAAGATTTGGATAGCTTTAAAAAATATTTTGGAAATAAAAAAAATTAATTTCGATATCTATTAAGTAAATTTCTTACTCCAAAATTTTGGTGGCAAACCTATTCTGAAATACGCTAGAATGAATGGTACATATCTCGAACGTATATGTACTGTGTATACACAAAAAAATGCTGATTGAAAATAACAGAATAAAAATTTTCATCACTTAGAAGTGTGACAACCCTGGAAATGGATGGAAAATATTTTCCGACCAAAGTTCTCAACAACACCTCTCCTTTGATATCCATATTGTGATGTTTTGGATAAATTGTTCAGAATTGAAAATAAGTGGCAACTTTACACTATTATCCTAAGGAATAATATTTTGTAAACAGGAAAAGCATTGTTTAAGAACCCTCTCTAGGTACCTATGAATAGTAATATTTTACCCTTTTTGCTAAACAAAAAATTTAATAAATATGCGACTCAAAATAGTTGGCAACCCTATTAAAAATATTTTTGAATAAAGGATCTTTAAATTACCTTCCTTTTGATACCCATTTCATGATGTTTTAATAAATGTTTAACTAATTTCGAATAGGTGGCAACCTTATACAAGTCAAAATATTATCTGTGTACAAAATTTCATCAAATTTAGTGCTATTTCGCAAAGCAGAATTCTTTTCTTCCCCTTTCTATTTTCTAAAAGTAGGATGGCAAATGAATTATTTTGGAAGTTTTTAGTTTTTTACAAGAAGCTCAGTACTTTTGAAACAAGTATTTAATATACATATGTAACTTGTAAAAACGGATTTCATTTAAAAATAAATTTGTCATAAAGAAATAAATAGTCCAGTACAGGTGTTAAGTTCTAGGAAAGCATTTATGTTGGTGTGTTAACTGGCATTGAGAAATCCCCGGTGGCAGTGAGTTTGTTTGAAAACAAAATAATTGTACTTGTAGTACTACACATGCGCTCTCATACATAGATATGTAAATTTGTTTTGCGTTTTCGCACAATAAATGCAAACAGTGAAATTCACTTCTAAATATGATGCATCTAAGTATGACTAACAGATTTTATTTAACGTGTACGTACTTTGTTACATTTTTATAAATATTTTGCATTTAAAATGTACCGGTACTATTGGAGAACAATTGAGGTGGTTGGAATCATACGGGTCTAAGTGACACTTTTTGAAAATATAAGTTATACCCATATTTGTATAGTTAAATATAATATTTATTTGGTGACAAAGAGTAAACATTCTTTGACTTAGTTAATTAACCTGCATTCATTTAGGCAAGAATCAGTTCAAATGAATATACCCAGAACTTGCAATAAGAAATCAACTTTAACTTTAATTATCTTAAAACAATCAGACCTACTTAGATCCTTTTGATTCTAACCGCTACAATTAGTACCGACTCATCCACTACGGGTATAATTGGAGAGCAGTTAGTTCCCGACTCATCTCTAACGGGTACGAGTAACGATTCAATGATATATATACCACTTATTCAACGAAATTTCATGCGCGACGTTGGCGACGAGAGTATTCGAATCGCAGCTGAAGCAAGTTTTTATTTTTTAAAAGCGACTACACTCTAAAAAGAGCTAGTCGCTCGCTAAAACGTAGGTTACTGATTTCCTACCTTATTATTCACGAAATTACATGCTCGATTATTCAACGAATAGTTTGTTCAAATTTCGGACTTTTTAGAGTGTAATATAGCTGCTGTGGTGTGCGTAAATATACTACGAAAGTGTGTACAAGCTACAAAATACACATCTGCTGTTTGATTTCACCCGTAGAATTGCATAAAGCAGCTAACAAAAAGGATTTTTACACACGAAAATGTGTAAACGAGAAAATTACATATGCATCGTGTAAATTTACCAAAAAGTTTTAAAAATAAACAAAAGTATACTCGATTTATAGTCGCATTTTTAAACAAATTTTTTAGAGTGTAGTCACTTTTTATACTTATTCGGGTATAAAGGGGATCAATTATTCTCTGCATAGGACATGCTCGAACAAAAGGGATCACTTAATTTTATATCGATGCCTGAGTTGAAGATCGACTTATCTCGGCAGCCAGTTCGAAAAAGCCCTATCTCAGAATACTTTTCAAGAACGCCCTATTTCACGATTTTTTTTTTTTAAACACCTCATCTCATTTTCAATGTATTTTCATTTGAGATAGGGCGTCTTCGAATCGAGTTCTGAGATAGGGCATTCTTCAACAAATCCTGAGATAGGGTGTTTTTCAATAAAATTCTGAAATAGGGGCTTCTTCAATCAAATTCTGAAGCAGGGCGTTCTTGAAAAGTTTTCTGAGGTAGGGCTGCCGAGATAGGTCGATCTTCCACTCAGGTGACGATATAAAAAGATCAAAAATGGTATTACACTTAAGGAGTGAGGTTCTCATAGAGACCACTTGTCATCAAATCAGTATGCGGTTACAATCCTGGGGAACATAATTATGGCGACAAATGGATTTTATATCCCAATTTTTCAACCTCCATCCATTGGACGGATTTATTTGTTTGCCCTCTAATAGGGTAAAGTATCCAAGCTTAATTCATGATAGCAAGTTTTATTGCAAGTCGAACTTCGGGAAAAGGTAAACAGGGCGTTGATTGCCTTGTATTGCTATAGAGAAGCCATTGATGTTATTATCATATTTTGTTCTCGTGTGGTAAATCGCATTGGACAAGGCCGCCATTATTAAGCAACTGGAGGGAATGCAAAGATCTGCCTAAATTTGAATCACTGGGGTACTTCCGAGCAGGAAAAGCTGCGGCTACACGCGCTGAATTAGGACAAGAATTTCAAATTCGCACATACATACATAGCTGTGGTGAGTGCCGTTGCCCTTCCTTATAATTTACTGTTTTTGTTAGAGCATTTTCATCCTTATATTTGCCTAGGACATTGTCTTTTTTCTGAATATGCTATTCTCCATGTACATAGGCGGCACTGTTGATGGAGATCGCTGATTGTGCATTTTTTACACAATTAGAAAAAAAAAATTTACCAAAAACCCGCAGCGTTTCGTTAAAAACATAGAAAAAAATGCAAAACTTTTAATTTTCACTTTTTATTTATTTCTTTACTTCAACATTTTTTTACCTTAAAATTTATACATAAATCACATTAGGTTAGATAATTGTGGGCAGTTCGACATGAGTGATGTGTGTTGCACTAAAATTTTAGCAAATTATTTTCTACCATAAGTTAATTGGCCGGCGCTAGCATTAGCACTGGAAGAGGCACTCGCATTGCCACCACCGGCTTTGGCATTCGCACTAGAACTAGCGTTTGCTGAAGCACCACCCGCTCCACCACCACCACCAGCACTCGCATTTGCATTGGCGATGGCATTAGAGCTAGCGCCACCACCATTGTAGCCATCTGGACCTGCAGAAATCCCTCCTCCGCCATTGTAGATACCTGGACCTGGAGGGAAGCCTCCTCCATTTTGGATACCGGCGCCTCCATTGCCACCTGGCCTGCCGGGGAAGCCTGAGCCGCCGTGACCGCCGTGACCGCCGTGACCACCGTGTCCGCCATGACCGCCACGTCCGCCAGGACCTCCGTGTCCGCCATCTCCTCCGTATCCGCCTCCTATAAAGCCAGGTCCTCCGGGACCACGACCAGGTGGACCATATTGACCGCCTTCGGCATTGGCAGTAGCTCCAGCATTAGCATCGGCGGCACCGCCATATCCTTGAGGGCGAGCGTACGCTACTGCCACGATAGCAAAAAGTAAAACGAACAACTTCATTGAATTTCGATTTCGACTTGGATGCTGGTTGAAAAGATATATGTAGATAGATAGAACTAACTGCACCTGCACAACAAAACTAACATCCCACCTGCGAGCGACAGCGATTTTATAGCAAACGAGCGGGATCAAAATCTGTTTGTTGGTTGCGAGTGAGAGAAACAGGGGGCAAGAGGCTGGCGCCAGCGAAATTGTTAGCTGCAAAATTAAAATTGGCTAAGAAGCTTGTTTTTTAGTGGGCCAGCTGTCGGAGAGTGCGAAATGCACGGATGCTGTAAAGTGTGTAAGAGTGTGTGTGTGTGTGGAGAATTGACAAAAAAATGCAAGTCAAATGGGTGAGCTATTCTTAATTTCGCCAGAACGCCAAAGCCATTCGAGTAGAAGAAGAAATAATTCTCCAAATTAATTAGTAAAGCACTTAAACATGTGTATACACATACATACGCACATACTTATATGTATATGTGTGCATATGCTTGCCCAAACATTAGAGCCGAACGAAAAAAGTTTGACCAAACAG